CTGGGCACGGCCTCGTTCCACTCCTGGAGCACCTCGTCGACAACATACGAAGGGTCCTCATAGGCGCGGGCGCGCGCGCGCGGCCGTGCCAGCGGCTGGCGTGCTTAGGTCGCGAATCTCATGTGAACATGATTATCCAAAACCATGCTGACCCCCCCCCCCCTTTTACACACACACACATACACATACCCGCACATACCTGAGGGCGGGGCGGGGAGGTGTCTCCTGACCGGGTATGGGCGGCGGGCCCGGGGCTTGGGGCTTAAGCTGGTAGGCGACTGCCGTTCCCTTGTGCCCTTATATCTTAATGAATTAAGTACTTTGCGTTTTATTACTATTTTCCTTTTCTAGGTCATTGTGCAGGAGGATGCAACACGGTGTGTCGCTGGCGTCCAGTACAATTCTTCCAACAACCAAATGGTGGGATTTCGAGTGCCCCTCTCAGTGACGGGTCTACCTGCAGTGGCACAGTTTCCAGCCGACTCTGAAGTTGTGATGCGACGACATTTTGAAGATGCGCCTTTAGCTAAAAATGTTTACTGTATTCTGGCACAGCCATTGGTTGACAAGGCGTCGTCCTTCATTTTATGCTGTTTCGGCTCGGACAACAAGTTTACAGCGGTTCAAGTGGCTAGCCGCTGGCACCTGGAGGAGAAAGAGGCAGCAAAATTCAATATTGTAGTGAAGATGAGGGCCACAGATGGGGACAGCAGGTGTCTATCTGCTATGCAGGCTCGCTTGTTCAAGGCTGTTACTAACCCACTGCAATGGCACTTCTGGTTTCGTGCTGACATAAATGAAAAGAATGTGTGCATACAAGACCCTACACACGTTGCCACTAAACTTCGAAACCTCTTGTTGAGAAAGCATATTTTACCAATGGGAAACTTTTACGTGTCGGTAACACATATCGAAGTTCTCCTCAAATCTGTGAGCAAGGACCATCACATGTTGGTCAGCGGAGACATTAATGGCTCTGATAGAATGAATTTTAGATCGGCAGAGAAACTATTCTCTCAAACTGTCACCGATATTTTAGAGAGTGACATTCCTGATGCCATTGGAACTGCAGTTTTCCTTAAGATGGCCAGATTTGCTACAGAATCTTTTCTCAGTAAATCATTGAGCCCATCAGAGAGACTTCGCATGCTTTGGACGGCAAACTTTTTCAATCGTGGCTGGAGAGCATGGATCAAGAAAACCCCTCAGTACAATCTTAAAAACAACTTTCTTACTTCAAATTGTTATTTGTGCATGGAAATAAATGCACATTGTTTTCTTATCTTGATAAGGTACTATCGAGACAATGTTGATCAGTTGGAGAAAGGTGAGAAACTATTATATATTGTTTCGTAGCGGTCTAACAGGAGCGCCTCACTGGCCTGAGGCAACCAACTACACAAACAAGTCGTGCGGTACTGCCTATCTCCACCACTGCAGGCGCTCGTGTACCTTTTCTTAAAACATTTTTTTTGCAGGTGCGTTTGCTCCTTGGATGTGGGGTAGTCAGAAATGCGAGAGTACATTTCGTCACCTTCGTTCTATGGGCACCACTCAAAGCACCGTGATTAACTTCACTGTCTTAGAGTGCTTACAGAAGTTGGCCAGAGTGCGACTTGAGGAGGACATAAGAAATGAGTTGTCTTCTAAATACTTTTTTAAGTCATCTCGGAGAACAGGAAAGAAGCACGAAGGAGAAATATTAAGTGAATTGTGCAATTTCCCAAATGACTCAGAGATTCTTAATATAGTAGTACGGGAGTCAAGAAAAAGCGCTCAAAAGCAACTAAATGACCTAGGCATGTGCATAGACATACCAGTGGTGTTCTCTAGTTTGAAAGAGTCAGAATTTGAAGCGGATGATGATTACCAGGTACATATCAAAATTCAACTATAAATACATATCTTAGCCTATTTGAAATATACATACCTTGCTTTAACTGCTCTAGCAGGATGAACATGTTGCCGATTTGACGATGCTGCAGCTAGTAATGATTTGGCAGAAGACGAAAGCATCTTGCTGGAAGCACGACCTGAGCCCTC